AGATACTGACCAAGCAATCATTCTAATTTATTGCTGACTCAGTTTTCATGTACCTTTTATATTCCTATTCATCCATTCATGTTGACTAACAGAATAATTTGCCCTGCAGCATCACATTCAATTATCCCTTCCTGGATCACATTACAGTCTGAGTTGCCATTTCCATATGCTGAGATCATTGTTAGATGAGACCATTTGACCCATCATGTTTCATCAGTCAAAACTTTCACAGAACACTTTGTAATAAAAGAGAGAAGTAGTCATAGTCATGTCACAAGTAGCCTTCCCTCCTAATGCTATCAATAATACCAGTCTTATCTTGGCATGTTTTACTCTGTATGCCACAAAGAAAGCTGAAATTCTATTTTGTTCCAATTGTCCTTCTGCTATTCTACGACAGCTAGGATCTATAACACAGAGACCACTTTGCAAGCTAACATACTGTTGCCCATATCCCACTAACCACAAAGAAAACAAAGTGTCCTGATCACTGATAAGACATTTCTTTTTTTTTAAAGTAACGTTTAAAATAAAATTGTATATACAGCATTGAATAAAATTGCATGCATAACAGAAGTGATACTGATAGGAAAAAATCATTTGCTCTGTTTTACCTTATAGGATCCTTGAAGAACAACACGGGATTCATTGTAACATGACCCTGCTCTTTTCCTTTGCTCAGGCAGTTGCTTGTGCAGAAGCAGGGGTCACCCTCATTTCTCCTTTTGTTGGCCGTATTCTGGATTGGCATGTTGCAAATACGGACAAAAAAACCTATGAGCCATCAGAGGACCCAGGTAATTGAATAAGTGTTAAGAAATTAAGTTTGCAATTGAATCAACCTGCAATGTTTAGTATTTGAAAATAAGCCGTTCTGAGAGTTCTTTACCCCTGAATAAAGTTGCCGTAATTGCTTTAAATCAGGGGTCTCAAACTCAATTTACCTGGGGGCCGCTGGAGGCAGAGTCTGGGTGAGGCTGGGCCGCATAAGGGATTCCACAAAAAACGTTGTTAAAAAAATATCCTCAAATGTTATACTTTCATATCACGTTGGGGGCCACAGGATATCGTCCTGCAGGCCGCAATTAGCCTGCGGGCCGCGAGAATGAGACCTCTGCTTTAAATAGTTACCTTATGTTCTCTTTTAGGGGTAAAGAGTGTCACTAAAATCTACCATTATTACAAAAAGTTTGGCTATAAAACTATTGTAATGGGAGCTTCTTTTCGGAACACTGGACAAATCAAAGCACTGACTGGCTGTGACTTTCTCACCATTTCACCTAAACTTCTGGGAGAGCTCAGTAAAGATAACAGCAAACTGACCCCAAAGCTGAGCGTCAAAGATGGTAAGTTTTCTGCCTTATTAACATGTGGGGTCCAATAGCCCGAAACAAACACTGCTCAATGCAGTTTAAATACAGATTAAAACACTTTAATCATGATCTTTTACCACATCTTCTCAATGTGCAAGGATTTACTTTTACTGAAATATCTACAGAGGGCTGTATATGTATAACGGTTAATTCTTTCGGTGCTCAATAGGTAAGGTTCACTTTCTGAATAACTAATATCTCAAAGAGATACATTAGATACAAAGAGATACATTAAATATATTTACTGTTCAAGAATCTGTAATACTTCTGCTATGGGACTGAAAGGATAATATCAATACCTACGTATTCATATTAGTTTAACTGAATGGTTTCTGTAAGATGTTGAGATTCAGCATTCCCTGTGATAACTGTACAATTTGTATCACAATAAAGTATACCATTGCCTACTTCCATAATTGGTTTCTTCTATCATCTTCAATACAGCCCAGGAATCTGACTTGGAGAAGGTGCATCTGGATGAAAAGACATTCCGTTGGCTTCATAATGAAGACCAAATGGCTGTGGAGAAACTGTCGGATGGAATCAGAAAGTTTGCTGCTGATGCAGTTAAACTGGAAGTCATGATAAAGGTAAGATTAAGGGATTATTGGCTTACTAAATATATTTCTAATGACTTTAGGTATATAAATTCAAAAACGATATACGCTCAACTATATATAACTTGCAAGTTATTTTCTGGTTTTCAGTGCTACTGCATATGCTGCATTGGCCTTAAATAGGTTAAATCCTATTTGTCAATCTTTTCTTGTACATTAAATAACAATGATTTCTTAAAATGTTTGCAACCAATGTGCCTATTTATATATTTTTTCTCCTTTTTTAGGAACGGATGTTCGGTACTGCGAATGGAAAGTAGACATGGCAAATTTAATGGATGCTAAATAGATGTAAAGATTTACATGCTGCATACGAAAAGATTTTCTGTATTCACAGATTTCTGTATGAATTTGCAGAGAAAAGATTCTTCGGGTCTGCTGTGCTTTTATATATCAGGATTGTAATATTACAATTCTGCATTACCAATTTTTTTATTCTTCACTATATTGCAGATGCATAAAGGACCAATTGCCTTGCTTTTTTCTTCAAGGTACTACTACTACTAATAATGATAAAACATTCTGATGTATAAATGCATTCCAAAAGAATAAAATGTACTACATTTTATACAGCTTTGTTGACTCCTATTGAGGCAAGGCCTCCATTTGAAGGATTTATACACGCTATTTCTACAAACAAAATCACTGTAAGATTTGAACAAGTGTGTTTTGTAAACATTCCATTCTTAAAATTATGAGGAGCTTCCCTACAGTTCTTGTAGACTGAATGATGTCTCACAGGGTTATTGCTGTGGGGAAAAAAGGAGGAAGAAAGATTATGTACAGGGTTGAATTGTACAAATCAAAGATTTGGATATAAATCCAAATTGTAATGCAGTCTCAATCTATAAAATTTCAGATAAGTGACTGTCTAGTGTCTAATTAAAAACATCCAGTGATGGAAGCACCTACAACTTCTGAAGGCCAGCTGTGCCACCGGTTAATTGTCCACACTTAGGAAGTTTCTCCTTAATTCCAGGTTGCTTCTCTCTTTGATTAGTTTCCGACCATTGTTTCTTATCCTGCTCTCTGGAGCTTTGGAGAATAATTTAGCCCCCCCCCCTTTGTGATAGCCCCTCAAATACTGGAATACTGCTATCATGTCACCCATAATTATTTTCTTTAGACAAGCCAAACCCAAATCCTGCAGCTGTTCTTCATGTGTTTTAGTCTTGTGGCCTTTGATCATCTTAGTTGCTCTTCTCTGAACTTTTCTCAAAGTCTCAACATCTTTTTCTGTAGAATTTTAAATGAGAGTTTCAAACAGTAGCAAAGTCCTTTTCAAATGGCCATTAATACTGCACAATTCCTTTAGATCGAACCCTATCAGATATAGTACAGCACTTCTAAGGGCAATACTGGGGATGATGAGATCCCAGTTTCGCATAATTGTGATTTAAAAATATAGCGATGACCAAGTGACAACCAGATGACTGCAAGAACTATCAATCCTTTCATTCCACGCCATTCAGTCAGAACTGAAGCAGCTTCTTAGATGAGAAGCGAAATGTTTTCACAGAAAAACATAGAAAGTTCAGTTGCCTTTTGGGGGGGTGGGGGGAAAGCACCTTTGGGACAAGGCTAGTGGAGGTATCTAACGGCAGCACGAGTCAAGAAAATTCATATATTTCATTAAGCACTTCTATTTTTCCATCATAATCTGAGTAAATTGTGTCCATATATTTTTATACTGCTGTTTTATTAACTGACAATATTCTTTTATGCAAGGAAGAGGTGCTGTGTAGCAGTTTTAATGTATTACTGATATATCAGTAACTTGTTTCTAACTTGTTTCTCCCCCTTGTCCACTTGGCAAACAGTGGAGCAATATCTACAAAATGCAAGCTTTGGCTATTATACAGTGGAGTCTTTGGTACTCTGAATGTGGTTGTTTGCTTGCAGATGTTTCATTACCTAAGTAACTTCAGTGTTGAGCACTAAGGAGTCCACAATTCAATCCTTGGCTACATTTTTTCTTATTGGTTGTGTATTGGAATCTAAAAAAACCCAAAGCTCAAGTACTACTGAAACTTTTTAGGTTTTGTAATTCTAGAAACATTGCTTTTCTTTTGGTGTTGCATGCAAATGCACTTGAGAAGGTAGTCTGCTTTTTAAAAAACAAACAAACCCCAATGGAATGTATTCTTCCTCTGGTTCCTGTGCTACAGTAAAACTACTCTATGGCTGTCTGTGTTACCCAACCAAGTAAAAAAGCACAATCATAAGGTGATTGTGGAATATATTTGCCTAGACTACAGGGGTTGCCAGCATATTATTTAGTCTATTATATGACTCTAAACCTTGATTCGCAAACTAGTTTGCAGGAAAATCTCAAGTACTTCTTCAATCTTGAGTCAAAATTATAATCTATGCAAGTAGGGTACTATTTCTATCGTTAACAAATAAGATCCACAACATACAACTTGAATATAGTTAATAAGATAGTATGAAGTCTTCATGATTTATTTCAAGAATAAAATGGAAAAATTATATACACAAATATGGCTAATCACTAATTGTGTGTTAGACAACACAAGCAAATAAAACCTGAAGTAAAATTTAATCAAAAGCCTTCTATAGTAGGCAAAATAAATGAACCACTATTGTCATGCTACAACAAATGAACACTAACCAACTTGAGGAAATAAATTTAACCTGTCCCATTTTAAAATTAAACATTTTACAGTTAATCGTTCCTTTTCTTGAAGTTTACATCTTCTGTTACTAATAATATCAGTAATCTTACTGTAACCTTTACAATATACTATATATTCCTATATGAGAGAGAAAATTACTATATAGTCCTATAGCTTGAAACTTAATTCACAATCTGAAATGATAAAATGGAACTAACAGATTCACCTTGGCTTATTAGATAACTTAGTCCAGATCTTACACTAGTTTTGCCCAGATCAGGCACAATGGGAAACATAGCTAAGAAGAAAAGATTTAAACACACTATAGTTGATGGAAGTTCAGAAACACAGGGAATTGTGACTGAAATCTTTCAAATCAATTTAGCCTCAGTTTATGAAAGTGAGAGGGTAGGAAGAAATATCCTTAAGACTCATATAAACTACGAATATCTATGAATACTGGTACATCTGATAACAGGCAGGTCTTACTATATGAATTAATATTTGCTTGTTCATAAGCTACAAAATATCACTTTTAGAAATCAGCTTTTCTGTTGGTTCATAAATGAAAGGTTAGCAAATCAAATAACTCTTCCGTGTTCATTTGTTCTGCTCAGCCACAGGGACGTTTCCGTCATTTTCTGCTGAAAGAAACATTACATCAAATTAATCACTATAGAGATATTTCCATATGATACATTTAAGGAATAAAGTGCTTGAGAATCCTCCTACCTCTTATTCTAGCAGTAACCTCAAATTGACCAATTCCAGGGTAGGGTCAGAGAATGCTGACACAAATTACTAAAGCTGGTTACAGTAATACAGAGATGCATTTGCAAAAAACAAAACTTCTGTATTTTACTAGTAATGTCACCTGCCTTTACTTACCTGCCACTGCAGAGAAAAATAAGATTCTGTACAGCAGCAACTGTAGAATTTTCATTTTGTCCAGTGACAAGGTGTCTGTCAAGCACGACATGAACTGCATCTACCTTGCTGGCTGCAGTGGAAATATATGTGTATTCACATCTTAATTTACACTTGTAAGAATAGATCCTTTTTCAAAAACCTAAGAAAAATGTTACCTGTTTTTTTTTTAAATTAATAAGAAATGCTTACTTTTCTTTCTTTACAATGTGTGAAATTCACAATTGAATCCTGCATTGGTAAGATGTAGGTATTAATGTTTAACAGCCTTCTAAAAGGCCTTTAGAAGGTTAAGAGGGATAAGGTTGAGCCAAGGTAAGTCTTGTGCTTTCTCAATATAAGGAAGGAAGAAAAGTCAATTTCCTGGTTGGATATCACCACCTTCTCTTTCAGATAAAGAAGGAAAAGACAAATGATGATCACACGGGGCAGTTTATTTCACATAGAGTATTATCTAAACCAGGATTTCAAGCTTACAAAGTGCATGAAACTCTCAACCTTATTTTGTGTGGTTTGTACCTCACACACTACTTGATTATTATCACCCTGGAAATCTTTAGACTGATTTTTAAAAAAATGAAGTGCAGATCTGTGCCAGGATAGGGCTCTGCAATGAGGCATGAAGCCATACTTTACCTCTGATAGAGAGGAGACTGTAAGCCTAATGCCTAGTTCAAGAGTAGCTATGCAATTCTTACTGCAGGTTGCCATTCTACAACACATCGCCCTTCCATTACATTTTAGCATCAGGAAAGCAAGGGGGGGGGGGAGGCAGTTGATGCTAGTGTGATCTTTATCCTGAGATTGCTACATTGCAGACTTCACTATTAATCAGCAACAGCACCATTTGAAGTGGATCCCACAAACAAAAATAAAGTGGAGTTTAGTTTCCGAATTTAGGAAAAATGCATCTCTTAGAGCTTTTTAATTGTAGGGTGGAGAGGCTGCGGTGTAACTATCATTGCTATGACCACTGCTGCAAATGTGTTGCTATTAATCAGATGGGCAACCAGGTCAGCATTTATTTATTTATTTTGTCAAACAATTATTAGATAACAGGTATAAGTATAAACATGGTTATAAATACATGAAATGGATACGAATAAGAAAAAAAAAAGAAACAATAGGACAGGGACGGTAGGCACGTTTTGGTGCGCTTATGCACGCCCCCTATACTTTCTACATACTTGAGAAAACCACAATTGTCTCACTGTACTCTTAAGATCACGAGGTATGTAAAAAGAAATCCTTGGTAGTCATCCATACTTTAAATTCCTATAAATTATTATTTTTTATTTACAAATTTTATTAAATACATTATTTAAAAACATTGAAATCGTATTTGACATATCTTTTTGTCTTATATCTTGTAATGTATACTTCTTATATATATATTTATACATGTTGTCTTTTTTACATTTAATGTTCCTTTAATACTAAATTCCTATAAATTATTACCACATGATACTTTCTACTTTAAAGTGTTCACAAAATTATTTAGTGATTCTAAATGCACACTGATCTTAACAAGTATTAATAAAAATCGAAGTCAGCAGAAAATATTAAAAAGACATACCACTAAAAGTAGCTCCAGAATCTTTTGAAAAGTCTTCAACAATAATGGGTAAACTAGCAAAACTAGGAAGCCTTACAAGTTCATAGACAGAAGGCTGGAAGAAACAAAACAATAGAAGTAATATTTTTACATTGTATTATAGTGAAACCTATGCAGGAAGAATTATGTTTTGGTTAAAGAACTAAGTAGCAGGCAGTTCCTAATCAAGAGAATAAAGTCAGGATCACTTTATATGAAATACAGAATTAAATGCATTACTGTTGCAAATGATTTCTCCAATGATTACTAATTCAGTAATTCAGTTACATTGTAGCTATAATTGTATTTATACTCTCTGCATGTGATTATCTTAAGATTACTAAAGTACTTTGAGAATCTCTTGTATATAAAGCTAGATTTCAAAGGTTTTTTTTTAAAAAAAGCAAATATACTCTTTTTGTGCTCATAAAATTAAATGCAAGTAAATGAGATGTGCTTCAGCAAAAATATAAATCTTGAGGAAGATCTGTGACTTGTAATATGAGAAATTCAGCCATATATGAAAAACAAAAATAAACTACATCATATTGCCTGGATATTTAGCAGCACCTGGGCAATCTTGATCCATTTCCAAAAATGTAGCAGGATCAGACCAGATAGGAGAGCATAGACTAAACATTGAAAAGCATAAAAATAAGATAATGGAAATACAGATTACTACATAGGTAAGACTGTGAAATTATAGAAAATAAAATTTTATTCAAAGAGACTTTATATCACATAGGTTTCTATAGAAATTTTTCAAGAGAGCGATCCATTGTGAAAAATGCAGAGTGTTGAGGTAATTCCCCATTAGGAGAATGAGTGCACACAGGGAGACGTAGTGAGAGTGGTGAAGAATAACACACAACCAGCACACAGATACACTGTATAGTAAAATGTAGGTTTTTACTTCCAATAAGCGGTTAAACAAAGTCCAATAAGCAGTCCAAGTCATACACAGTTAAAGCAGTCAGTTTTTCAGTCCAGGGATAATCCAAATATCAAAGTCCAGTATCATAAACAGTTCAGTAACAGACTTACAGCAATCCAAGAAGAATGACGATCAGCAACAGTAAATAGGAAAAATTCAGGAACCAAAAAACAGCGACAACAGGACTAAACAACCTAGGTTTCTGGCTCCATCTTATGGCCATTTGAGGAACCACACCCAATTACAATTATAGCATCCCCTTAAAGAGACAGTATTAAATGTCTATCCTGGTTCATATATTTCTAACCCAACTGTTAGATGACTATCAATTCCTAACACACTGTTCCTTCAGCATACATTACCTACCCCTGTTAAGCTGTATTCTTGAAACACCCAGGATTTGTCTTCATTCGTGGCACAACATAAGGCAGCAACTCCATTTCCAATAGCACAAATAGGCTCTATTAAAAAAGAAACCTTTATATAAAATCTTTTTAGTTTTAGGAAAATGCTATTTTGAAATGGGTCTTTCTTTCAAAAACAGTATATCACTTGCTGTATAAATGCAATGTTTATTATTTCCTATTGTACTTTTTTTTAAAAAAAGGCAACGGGGAAAAAGGGATCAAAAAGGTTAAAAGGGGAAGATACAATATTGATGAGAACAGAATAAGCAATGCATATTCAATTCTATTCTTTTCATGCATTCCTCACCATTACTGAGCAGATTGTGTATCTGATATGTTGTCCAAAATCTTTTTAAGGACTAGAGTCAAAGTAGAAGAAATATTAAAGGTAATATGGTATGTGTATCTCATACATTAATCACCACTTTTTGCCACACGCTTCCTGATCTATGATGTACACAATAGCATGTAAAACACCAAGGAAGTTTACCTACTGTTCTCCGAACTGAAATGCTGCAATATTCTAGCTAAGTAGCCACTGTTTGATAGATCTGTCAAAGCACCGGGACAGTCAGGGATCAACAAAGCGTGGTATCTTGCACCTAGGTAGGAAGAACAGACAACGCTGAGTTCTATTATTAAAAACCAGCAGAGGCAGAGATGACTCAGAAGACCAGTGGACAGTGCTCTAAGCATTTCCTGCTATCTTATTTGCTCTACTTTCAATAGCAATATATGAAGGTCCCATTGCATAAAAATATAAATCGATTTTTAAATTAAATTTAACTAAAATAAAAAGCCTGTCTGACAATAATTTCTGCAACCCACTTAGTATTCCCAAACAACGTTCAAGTCCAGGACAAGATTAATGTATCCCAGAGGTATGTTCAATCTGCCCAACTTTTCTGCTATAAGAAGAAACTGATTTGCTTCCCCATTTGCCCCTAAAAGCTCAGGGCTACTTTGGGATAAATGTAGCTATCTGTGAGAAAGGCAGGGAGAAAACAAGCAAAGGGAGCACTGCTCACATATTAGCCATCCTTTAAAAATACAATCATTATACCCATCCCATCATCACTACTGCCTAAAGTCTCAAATCTGTACTTACCTGTTCCAAAAACAAAAGGGAATCTGAAAGAAGTTTGATTGTAAACTGCTCTCAATTATTAATAATATAAAGAAACCATTAAGCTAGTTTGGTTAGATAAAGGTGAAAACAAACTCCTAAAATATGTCAACGGGAAATATGAAACCATAGCTTTTATTGGGTCTGAAATATAAAAACAATCAAAGCTTTGAGAGCAAACTTTATCTTTTCCTCCAAAAAATGCAAATGGAACAATAATAGTTTCAAAGCAACTTGATTATCAATTTAAATTATCTTTATTTTAAACTGCAATATGTGGTAGAATTGTATCCAGATATTGAAAAGACCATTAATGTGTAGATAGAGCGAAAGGAGATACACCCAATCATATGTCAAAAAATATCTCACCATCAGTTGATTCCAACTTGGCCGGATTTGCGTAGGATTTCATCCGGAAATCCTGGATCCAACGCATATTTGCTTCATTAACTCCAACAAAATCAATTGGCTTCCCCTACAACAGCAAAGCCCAATTAATGCATCTACATATACTAAGCCTTTGGGATAAACATTTAGTGAAACAAAAAATATTTGGAAAAAAAAACAATAGCCTGTCTCCATGAAGTAAAAACAGTGTTATTGGTTCTAAATAAAGATGTCATTTTTCATGTGAACCAAAATGGAAATACAGGCCAACATTCACACAAATACACCCAAAAATATTGTACATTTACAACTTGTGCACTCTTTAGTTCAGCTGGATTTAGTTGCTTTTTAATAAAACAATGCATTTACCGATTCCTGCATTTTGAGACCCCTCTAGGACAGAGGTCTCCAGCCTTGGCAACTTTACGACTTGTGGACTTCAACTCCCAGAATTCCTCTGCCAGCAAAGCTCCACAAGTCATAAAGTTGCCAAGGTTGGAGACCCCTGCTCTGGGAAATTGCATATGGAAACAAAAAAGAGAAAAACATATGAAAATAATGGTGGATAAAATGTATTTTCCACTACTTCACTAAAAGCAGGTCAACATTACCTGTAGGTGCCTAGTTTGGAACATTGCAACTTCTGATTACATTCCATTCTAAGACTATTATTGAAGGCCATCATTTCCTGTAACAGTTACTTCCTTCCTCTTTTTTTAATCTTGCCTGGGGGAAGAATCTATTTCATCACCTACTTAATAAAACTAACATGGGACATTTACATTTACTTACCCCTGGGGTAGCAACTTGTAGATTAAAAGCAGAGCTCGCCAATGTAAAAGAGTGGAAGAAAGAGTCAGCTGATACACCTGGTGGACAGATATAAGCACATCGTATTTGTAGTGGGAGCTTCTATATGGGGAAAAAAACATTGGTATGGCTGCATATCTAGGGAACAAAAACTGGATTTGATCTATAGCAGCAGACATACTGAAAAAGCTATTTGGCTTTTTTGTAACACAAATATGGGAGCCTTAGCATTCACTGATAATTCTTACTAAATATGCAAACTTGATAGCCTTTTCATATTCCTCAAAGTAAAAAAGACAAAAGACTTAATACCCTAAAGGTGCTTTTTCAAGAGGCCACTGGACTTTCTGGTTTTTCTTTGAAGACATTTTCTTTGTTAGAGTTGAAAAAGCTTCTTGGATGAGAAGCGAAACACCTTCAAAGAAAAACCAGAAAGTCCAGTTGCCTCTTGAAAAAGCACCTTTGGGACAACCATGACTAAAAGGTTTTGTAACAAGAGGGAAGGATATAAAAAGAGACAGTATGTGTGTGTGTATACATACACATACATACACACACACATACATATATGCGATGTGGTGAAGAGATAAAGCTGTTGGAGTAACATGAGGAGAGTTATATTGAAGACCAGCTTTTATTTTTCAAGGCTGCTAGATGAGCTCCTGAAGGGAAGTATACTTTAAAAATAATATAAATAAAATAAAATATTAGATTTAACCAAGAGCGCTAATAAGCCACAAAGAACAGCCCAACAGCACTGTAATTTCTATGTTCTTGCAGGCAGAAAACAGAAATCCTAGCTAGGGCTTAAGGGAACTGAAACCCAACATGTTTATGAGACTTTAAAATATGTTAATACTATGTAGAAATGACAGCATGGCAACTATGGAATGCCGATTATGCCCACATAAAATGCAACAGACACCTAACTAGATCCTTGATGTTGGCTGGTTAAAAAAGAAGAAAGGGCCAGGTTCATATGTGGATGGGAGACCACCAAGAAATCTCAGGGCTGAAGACTACATTGGAAATGTCATCCAGGGTAGGAGAAAAGAGCTGCATATAACTTCCGCGCTGCTGTCAGGAACATTATACGAAACAGCCCATATAAACAGAGAAGCTGTACTCCACCCGAAGCAGAGTTTATCTTTTGCCTTAAAGATCCATCACTCCGGCGCAGCCAGATAGACTCCGCCTGCAATTACTGTATCGGTCAAGCTGCCCGGAATAGCCTTCTCCAATCTCCTGCGTCCAGCTGCGGGAGAACCAGTCATGCGCCTAGCGGAGGATCAAAAGTCGGAAGAGCCATTCTCCCCACCGGGAAAAAGGCTGTTGCCCCTGACAACATACGTCTTTCGGGGGCGATTCTCTCAAATCTCCCGCCGCCCCCCGCCTCGCCTTCCCGTTCAGCTCTCAGGTCCGCCCTCTCCCGGAAGAGCGAAAAGGAGGGCGGGGAGGGCAGAGCCACCCGGCCTTACCTGCAGCAGCGGCGCTGGCCACAATGAGGCACGTCGGCTTGCTGAGCCTCTCCGACATGTTGACGGCGGCGGCGGCGGCGGGAGCCTCTCGGGGAAAAGAGAAGCGGGCAGGGCCCAACCTGAGCTTCGCGGCTGGGAAGGATAAACCTCGCCGCGCTTTCCGCCCACCAGCCCGCCCAGTTTTCCCCTTGCGCAAGCGCCCTCGAGTCGGCCACCCTCTTGCCCGGTTGTGGTGGTGGGGAGGAGGTTGGTTTGCAACCCCACAGCTGCTTTCTTCGCCGGCCTGGGTTTGCCCCCCTTTTTCTAATCTGACCTGACGCCACCCTTGCAGCCTTGGGGGTCTTTTTCTTGTAGCCAGAAATCCTCTAAAATAAAAATGCATACATTGTTACTATTGTATTGCTTTTTTCCTTCCCCAACGCAGCTTACTTTGAACGATAGCTTTAAAAAATGATTATTATTTTTTACTGGTGAGTCGACATTGAAAAGGGGTCTTTTGATGTTAACGTTTTCTGCATTGCTAAGAATTCCACTATTTTCAGCATTTGCTTGCTTGCTCCTCTCGTTTCTTGAAAAAAAAATACCTTTTTCCTCTCTGCATTAACAGCTGTTTCATAGCAGAATAAATGGATTTGAGCCTTGTAGCTGCAACAGGTGGAATAGATAGCACCACCACTAGATGGATTCGCAACTGGCTGGCAAACCGTACTCAACTAGTAGTCCTTAATGGGTCTAAGTCTACATGGAAGGAAGGAAGTAAGCAGTGGGGTGCCACAAGGTTCCGTCTTAGGCCCAGTACTCTTCAATATCTTCATTAATGACTTAGATGAGGAAATAGAAGGGGAACTTACCAAATTTGCAGATGATACTAAGCTGGCCGGAATAGCTAACACCCAAGAAGATAGGCTCAAGATCCAGATGGATCTTGACAGACTAGAACACTGGGCCATATCTAACAAAATGAAATTCAATGTAGAGAAAAGTAAAGTCATACATTTAGGCAAGAAAAATCAAAAGTACACATATAGACTGGGTGAAACCAGGCTCAATGGCAGTAACTGAGAGGGATCTTGGAGTCTTAGTGGACAACCAGCTAAATATGAGCCAGCAGTGTGCAGTAGCAACCAAAAAAGCTAATTCAATCCTAAATTGTATTAATAGGGATACAATCAAGATTAAGGGAGGTACTAATACCACTCTATAAAGCCTTAGTAAGACCACACCTAGAGTACTGCATCCAGTTTTGTTCACCACATTATAAAAAAAGATGTTGAGACTAGAAAAAGTACAGAGAAGAGCAACCAGGATGATTAGGGGACTGGAGACTAAAACATACGAAAAATGGTTTCAGGAACTGAGCTAGTAAAGAGAAGGACCAGGGGAGACATGGTAGCAGTCTTCCAATATTTGAGGGGCTGCCACAGGGAGGAAGGGGTCAAGCTATTTTCTAAAGCACCTGTAGGCCAGACAAGGAATAATGGATGGAAACTGAACAAGGAGAGATTTAACCTGGAAATAAGGAGAAACTTTCTGACAGTGAGAGCAATCAACCAATGGAACAGCTTGCCCTCAGAAGTTGTGGGAGCGCCATCACTTGAGACTTTCAAGAAGAGATTGGACTGCCATTTGTCAGAAATGGTGTAGGGTCTCCCGTTTGAGTGGGGGCATTGGACTAGATCAGTGATCCCCAACCTTTTTGACGCCGCGGCCTGGTACCGGCATCAGCTGGGCGCCGCCATCTTTTTTTGATGAAAAAGTGCTTCCGGTGACCTCACCGGAAGCACGTTTTCATCAAAAAAAGATGGCGCCAGCGCTTCCGGTGAGCTTTTCTGGATAGAAATGGCTTTCTATCCGGAAAAGCTCACCGGAAGCGCTGGCGCCGCCATCTTTTTTTTGATGAAAACGTGCTTCCGGTGAGCTTTCTACCCGGAAAAGCTCACCAGAAGCACTTTTTCATGAAAAAAAGATGGCGGCGCCCAGCAAGCCAGCGGCCCGGTAGGAGTTGTTCCGCGGACCGGTACCGGTCCGCGGACCGGTGGTTGGGGACCCCTGGACTAGATGACCTACAAGGTCCCTTCCAACTCTGATTATCTGTTATCTGTTTAACTTTCCTAGGGCAATCTCAATCTCTCAAATTGTATGTTACTGTTATAAGATAATGTATGGAATACCTGCAATGATCAGGCTGCATAAAGGACAGGTGTGGCACACCTGAATCTGGGAGATGAAGACAGAATATAAAATAGACTCTAATCTCTAGATTGAAGCTTGGGTTTATAAAACATTTGCACTATCCAGATTAGAAGCTTGAAGAGGTAGAGATTGCAAAGGGCATCTCTATTTTTCTTGGATCAGGGGTCATATGTAAATCATAATGATTTTTAGTCACAATTTATTCTTTGTGTAAAATAAAAAAGTGCACTATCTGTACTATGAATGTTCTGATCTAGTGGAAAATTCTATGAAATCTTGAAACTCCTATGCTATATTTAAGTATGAGCTGAAAGGCAAGCCCATTCCTAATCGTTCATATTACTTTGCAATAATTTAAGTAAAAAATAAAGTAGAATACATGTTGGCGCCATTGGGTCTTTGATAAGAGGATGATATGAGAAGATGGTACTTTGTTTTATCGTGGATGTTTTTTCTGTCCTAAAGGAGATAAAATGCCTCTATAATAGTCTGCTTGGCTCCTCACATTAATTTGGCTGGCCTGATATCCACTTGAGGCCATTTGGTTGCCGTGGTATTTAGCTGCTGCTGCTGCTGTTATATTTTTATTATGCCTTTTTTTACCCAATCTCAAGGACATGAACTGTCTCTAATCAGAATGTTTACTGGCAAGTAACCTAGTAGATCTCCTCTGTTCTGGTCTCCTTTCTAAATGGTCCGGTGCAGAGACTGAGAGGCCTCCTAGGACAGATCCAGTTGCTCAGGTTTGTGATTGATCAGCCTCAGATGATCTCTGGCTTTGTCCTTCCAGAAGCTGATATTCTATAGGCTCATCTGGAACAGCTTCTTCAGCTTCAGACTCTTAGGTTCAGAACCTGGCCCATTTACAGTCATTTATTCTGTGGATCAAAAAGTCTACATTGCAACCATGGAATTCAATGCAATTTGATTTCTCTACAACAGGGTTGTCAAACTCAAGGCCCGGGGGCCAGACGTGACCCATGGGGCTGCCCTGCAAACAGCGAAGTAGCGGCTTGTGGTGCCTCTGCCAGCCAAAACGGAGCTCACAAGGGCTGCGCATGGCCCCCTGAGCTCCGTTTTCAGTGGCAGTGGGTTGCAGGAGATTGTCCCAGCCAAAAACGGAGCTCATGAGGGCTGCACGTGGCCCCCCTGAGCTCCATTTTAGCTGGCAGTGGGTTGCAAGAGGCTGTCACAGCCAAAAATGGGCTTGGAAACCTGTTTTCTCTGGCAGAGTGCTTGGACCACCACAGGCACCGACATGAGTTGACGCCATGCTGGCCATGCCCACCCTGGCTCTACCCACCCCGGCCCCCCCGAGGTCAAGCACAACCCCGATGCAGCCCTGTTCTACAAGATTAAAATAAATCTGGTTGAGCTATCACCAGCCAGCAAGTTGAACAATTCTTTTCGTTTTTTGAATATGGGCTGCTTTGTACTTTAACTGCTCTTAAGATGAGGCTATCCCATTTATTCACTTTAAAGATTCATGTATAAGAACAGGTTTTGATGATTTTTTTTTGGAAAACTGGATTAAAGAACAGGAATTGTACCTCCATTCTAGTCTTTCATCAACAGAAAGTCTTTGAAAACTGTTTTTGTTATAAGTGGCTTTTATCACAGCGCCATCCCTCTCATAATGGGAACTGATCTGGGCACAATATAATTATCAGGGCAGCATTTATTGATTGATTTAAATTTTGTTGTATCCCCAGAGATACATACTTGTGGTATTTTCCATCTCAAATGCTTTTGATGTTCTGCCCCTTGACATGGACAGATAAATGCCAGTTGTCAGTCCATACCTGTCAGCCAACTGCCTTGGCTGAAATTTGGTACTGTATGTATAAGGGCTGATATAATCACATGCCTAAAATATTCTGGAAAGAAGACGTTTTAAAATTTCATCCTCCAACATGAGACATGAGTTGTAATCTGGATTGGTGAAATGCATAAATGGACATTTACTGTAGTATGTTATAATCAAATGGTAAAAAATATTGTCTAAAACTGGAAGTTTTAAAATCTGAAAGATGAAGTGCAATTGTTTAACTTCGAGGGGGATAATATCACACAGAGTAATTGAAACTGCATCTAATGAAATAATAGAACATAGGAGCTCCATGGATCTTTATATAGCCTTAAAGATGTTTGTAGTTCCCATCAGGAATATGTTTCTGTACTTGTAGAATGCATGCTGATTTCCTGGTACAAGGACTGAATATACTAGTAATTTTTCACCTGTAATTTCATCACAGTCATATGATTTATAGTACAATTCTGTCTTTAACTGCTCTCCGCACACGAAAAATGAAAGGACAAACTGACTGTAAAGAAATAAATTTTGAAATAATTGCATGCCTCTCCTATATTCCCTTTATTATCTTTAGAAAAGAAATTGTTTCAAAGAAGAGAACAATCCCTGTCCTAAAAACTTTACCATTGCTTTTAAAGGA